ACACACACACACACACACACACACACACACACACACACAGAGAGAGAGAGAGAGAGAGAGAGAGAGAGAGAGAGAGAGAGAGAGAGAGAGAGATGGGGGCTGCTCCTTTCCTTACTCCACTTTGCCATCTCCAAATTTTTACCTTTTTCCCCAATTAGATCAACTGTTAAGAGTTGACAAATAGTCCATACTAACATGGAAAAAAAAAAGCACTGGACACCTCATAGCTTATTTTTCACAAGACAATGCCCACTTACTCACAGCCAAAGGAACTTGATCAACAAAAACGGTTCCCTGGAAATCTTGAAAACAAATTCTAAATTTAAGATCTTTAAAATCCGATAAGAATCACACTGTTTGATCAGACCCCAGAAGACTATGAGTCAAAGATTATTCTTTCTGCTGCCCTCACGGATACAAGTGTGAATACACATTTTTCACTTTGATGGTGAATTTCTTGAGAGCAGAGACCAGAGACCAGAATTTCCCTGAAATCCTCTAAGAAGGGCCTCCCTAGGAGTCTGAGTAATTAGAGATTGCTTTAGCCCCTGTTGCAGATTTTCAAGGTCCTGCAGCTGAAAGTCAGGGGGTGGGGTTGGGATGTCCAACAGCTCTGCTCTGTATGTGAGCACACTACTGTTTGCTGAGTTTTGGATTCTGTATGGTGTGTGGTCGGTGCAGAGTGCTGGCTTAGCCTCAGATTTTACCGGACTCTGTTAAATCCTTTGATAAATTTATGTATGAACCATTTCTTTAAAGAGATGATATGCAAATTGGGCCCCCCAGTGGAGCAGACCTTCCATTTTTAATAGGATTTACTTTTCCAAGTGCAAACAGTGCTGAGAGCCTTGTGAAGTACTTGATACAGACTTGTTCTAAGTTGAGAATTGCTCCATTGAGAACTAAATCCTGAAGCCTGAGTGACCTCTGTCTCTATTCCCACCCCCAGCTTGGATCAGATGGAAGCCTGAGTCGGGGCAAAATGTGTGTATGCATTGGCTGCAAAGATTAATCTGCTATCCTCGCTTCTCTCTGGGACAGCTCCCTGAATGAAAAAAGAAATAAAAAGGAAAGGAACATGACTGCTCCTACGTATGGTGGAGGAGAAGGCTTATTGTAGATATATGGGAGAGTCCAGAGTGAACAAGACCAGACTG